AGTCCTATACTGTAGGCTTAGTTGTTGTTGCGAAGGTACTCAAGTTATTACTTTTATTTTCAAGTTATTTCGTTTAACATTCTCAAACGCCTTTCATCGTTTAAGGGATTTATTACTTTCGGTTTTATTCAGCTATTTCCCCGGTTAACAAAGCCGAGCGGCTGATAGTCAACCGTGCAGTGTGCAAAGTTACACGTGCAGTGTGCAAAGTTATAAGTTGCGTTCAAAGTATATCTGCCTAATTAGCTTGTCTAAACTGTGGTTTAGTGATCTTTAGGAAAGCGCAGTTAATTTGAAATCTTTTCATTCGCAGATATAAGCTTTAGATCTTAGAGCTTTTTATCGCGGGTTGCATGGCTCGTGAGATTGACCGGAAAATTGAACCACGATGATGGGAGTCCTATAGCTGTTGAGTGTTTTTGCGAAGGTAAGAATATTTGTATCCAAGTTATAATTTTTATATTCAAGCCATTTCGTTTAACTTTATCGTTTATTCGCTAACCACGCTGGAAAGCTTGCCTTTATGGAATTTTGCGGCCAAGCTAAGTCTTACTAAGGAATTACTTATCTTTTGGTTTTATTGACTTTATTGAGTTATGTCAGCGGTTAACAATGCCGAGAAACTCATAGTCCTGGTCAAAAAATTATATGTTTTGTCCAAATATACTTGTCCTTTTAAATCCATCCCGGGGGTATTTAAATTTTATACGTGAAAGTCTCGTGTGTCATAAGTTTCAACTCTTAAATAGTCTGGACATAAATATCTTTATTTCTGTATTTAAATTACACATAGAAAATAATATTCCATCACATCAACCACCTTGACATGTTCACGACACTCACGACTAAGGGCTAAGGCTCATAGCACGCGATAACGTTTTAGAGCGTTTTCACATTCGTTTTCATACCAAAACGGTTTCAAACACCGTCCATTTACAATAGAAGTTGAAGCTAATTTAACATAAATTATAAAGCATGCATGTCTTTCCTTGGATCCTGTAGACAGGGCGTCTAAACAATAGAATAGACAAAAACGATTTTGAAAACGCTGGAAAACGACGCTCGTGCGCACATAGCTTAAACGGAAACCAGGCATTAACCGTGGTTCGTACCCGTTGTTCCTTTTCTCTTCTAAAATTCCCTATTAGCATGTGCTTGTTTTGTTTCAATACCTCAAAATCATCTTGCGCGTCGTTGAATCTCACAGGTAACTGCCCCTTAATATGAAATCTTTCCATTCTTAGGTCATTCAATATAAATTGTTCAACAAATATGGATGAACATAAAGAAAGAACATGAATATCAATGTCAGTTCCTTTGCCATTGTTTATCTTTGTCCTAGTTGTAATGAGATCAAGATCATCTGCTTATATCATTTGTGAATTGTGTGAAAGTGTTCAGCTTACTTGATAACTTGTATGGTAAGTATTGCAGTTAATCCATGCAGAGATATATTAGATCAACCTTAATATAAACCTGGTCTACTTACTTGAAAACTAGATAGACAATACGAAATCACGACTAACGTGATTAGGTAATTTCACTGATGAAGGCCCGGGTTAACGGATCGAAAGCTTTGCAGTATGAAATACTTACGTGGTGTACCTACAAGCTTAATTACTAATAACAAATCAGTTAAATAAACAGGTCCGGTTAATCTGAACATTCTGTTCTTCTGCATGTCGATACACTGGAAATAACAAGCCAAAGCTATATGTTTCAACATCGTCCATGGCCAGGATGAATTATTTTTAAGCTTAATTATCCTTCTATGATTCATTTCTTACAAGGACTAAAGAATTGAAGCTAATTTCTTTAGAATTCTCAAAACTTGCGGGAAAAAAGTCTTTAAAGAAGTTTTTAAATTGAACAAACACTTCCCGAATTTGTTCTCGGGCAATGAAAACCATCCCACAAACAAAATATTATATTGACCACCTCATTTCCAAGCTATTGTTCTGTGTGCACTCATGCAAATTAGGAAGTGTCTATTAACTTTGGCTTATAAAACATTTATATAATTGCCTAAAATGTAGTGAAAGATCTAGCACGGTACTGCATGTATAACAAAATTCAAGAATGGGTGAAAATATAATAATATGAAAATGAATGTGCTTACGATCGTTGGAGTAACGTCAAAACTCGTGATTACTTCAGTTGTTAAGAAATTTTAGGACTATTCACGTCACAAGTGTAGTTTTTCAGCACTTTTCCACAATTCGTCAGTCTAAATGAACAACGTACAAAAAATATACTCGTTAGGATTTACACTGCATTTTCGCCTGAACTGACTGGCAACATGCCTATAGACAATGCAAGAAGTAGTACACTATACCTTGATTATTGTTATTCCATTGGACAGGTTTATGTCTATAGGCTGTAGAGCTTATGATCTAGAGGTTAATATGACGTTTTTCTTTTCTTAGGTCAAGATTAAGAAATTCAACATAAACGGTTCACCATGCATAAGTGAATGAACATAAAGAAAGAACCTGAATAT